ATTGTGGGGGGTTGGTTGATGGTTGGTGGGTTGTGTGGGGTGGGGGGTGGGTGGTGTTTGGGTGGGGGGTTGGGGTGTTTTGGTGAGTGAGGGTAGGAGGGGGTGTTATTGTGATTTTGGTGATTGGGTGAGATTTTGCACTGCACAGCGTAACATTCAACGGCCTTCATCCAAAACGAAACTATTTTCCAATTTTCGAGAAATGCGATTTCCGTTATATGTTGATGTATTAAAACGCACATCTTTTAGTGTCCTCGTATTGATAATCGGTTTTCCCGTTGCATCTCTATTATTAACCCAAGTGGGTAAGCTCATTTCAATACCATTCCACGAGTGGTTGGTATGAAAAATTGACAGTTATAAATGAATGCTGAAAATACCACAAGACGATCAAAGGATTATAACACCCGTCACCAGTTTCTCCCTATCCCCCGCCATGGAAGAACCCCAGCCCTGGATCCCACGCCCCTCTCAAGGATCCCCACTCCACTCTACTCCACCCTCCACGAGGACCCTCCAACGCCTCACACTGCAAAAACACAACCAAAACAGACAACCGATTCCAGCGTGGTAACGCCCCCTCCAGCCACAACCGTCACTCCATCGAAATCAGCCTCACCGCCCCAATCTAGCTCCCTCATCATCCCCCTCCATGCCCCAGCCACGCCGATCAACTCCCCACGTACCCCCAGGGGCCCGGACAAGACAACCCAGGAGACTTAACCTCTCTTGACATCCGCCCCCTGCCTCATACTCGCATAACAAGCCCCACACTCTTTCTGTTGGGCTCAGCTCTGTAACTTCCAAAGCCCAGTATGGCCATCTGGACTGGTCCACTGCCAACCCCTCCACATGCAAACCGTGGTCTTTCTAAACCTAAATTTCAACATAATGTATGACAGACCCAGCGAAACACCCGCCGCCCTTCCTGCAACACCCCCACAATAGGGTCCCCTGTCCGCTTAATATCGACTAGACACCTGCTTCATCCCGCTCAACTCGACGTTAGCGTCGATTGAGGCATTAATAAGACCCTTATTGTAAGTTTGTGGCACTTCCAACCTACCCACGAAACCCAGTAAGCTGTTCCATTTCCTATCTGACCAAGTATTCTGTGACCTTGTACGACAGTGAGTAACACTCTCTCATAACTTGTATACGATTGTCTATTTTCGTTTACACAATATGTCTCATATTGCGAGTTGGCGATAATTGGGGGGGGGCTCCTCCAACACCGCGTATGCATATTCACTCTCGGTTTTGTCTGTTTCATATAATGCCTGAAATATAGCGTATCAAAAGTCAACGTGTCACAATGACTTTAACAAAAACCGTGATCCCAAACTGTAAAGTCCCACAGGTTATGTGCGAGTTAATAGAGATAATTTTTCACTAGTAACATCAGTCCATGGATTCAACTCGTGATTATAGAACTATCTCACTTGAATATTCAACCACTGAATTTCGGCATAAACATCAGACGAAAATCTTATACTTTTCACATACTTCAAAGCTAAAGTTATACACATAACGCTTCATGCTATCTTAATTTGAACTCCATGACGCTTCTACTATCTTACTACAATTCTAACTGGCACCACGTGTCATGGCGAGAGTGTAGTTATGTACGTGCGTAATTATCTCACCTAACCTACTTTTAATGTTTCTGTGAACTTCATTTCATCTGTAATTTTGACTTCAGCATAACTCACTTGTTGCTTCAACTTAATTAAATATATACTTTTGTGGTTACTTGTGAATGGTGCCCAACAGAAGATAGTTGATTAGCAATCTAATTGCTCCACCTTAATAAAAGTTAACTGAATACGGTGAGCAATTTTCTCAAGAATTTTAATAGACGATCTAACTGAACATTGAAGCATATCGTTTGGTTGGAGAATTGTTTTCTGAAATAATAAACTCGATGACCATAAGACCGTCTATCATCATTGATAATACTCGATGTCGGTAGGTTATGGATTATACAAAACATTTTCTTCTGTAAATTAATGTCCAGCCATTTTATTTAGAATGTCGTTCTGTGGAACTAACTATTCTCAAAAATTCCAACCAAGGGTTACATTTAACCAGTTTAATTTCTCTATATTCGATTAAATCGTTCACTCGAGTAACTTTAACAATGATTGTAAATTCAGTGTGATATAAGGATTTTTTTACGTCTGATTACTCTCTGCTTACTATTCTACCATTATTTGTATATTTTCTTTGTCGAATGTTTAGATAATTTTAATTTAAGATACAGAACAATGGTTTTCAATATTATAATTATCACTAAAGGTTAGTTTACCATAAATATGCTTCTGCTTTATTTTTCAGTGGTCAGAAGTGGATAGAGACAATTTAGTTCGTGCGGTAATTCGATATCCTGGAGGTGTTCCTGGGAGATGGCAACGTATCGCAGAATCTCTTGGTCGCAGTGTTCCTGATGTTATTCGTAAAGCGAAATATATGAGTAAAGAATTAATGTCTATTTCTCAAAAAAGTAGGTACTATATGTCTACTTTCTTATCAAGATTTCAACAAGTTTTCACTTGTAATAGTAATAACAGTGCTATTGCCTTTTTGTTTTTAATACAGTGATGGAATTTACACAAATTGTTTTATGAGTGAATTAACCAAGTTGATGTTCTTGTTCCTTTTGTTTAATTAATCATTATAGTAATTGACATCATAATTCTGCACAGCGGATTTTGTATTTTAGTTATTATCGTATCATTCTTAACTAATAGTCACTTTCTATTTGAGCATCATGTGAAAAAGACATGTAAAACTGATTGCTGTGTCAGATTTAGTTTTTTTTAAATCAATTATTATTTGACTAACTATGATAATTAGGAGTATTTGAACTATAGTACAAACTATGAATCCCAGAAATAACGCAATTAGATCAAGATGTAGTAGATAAGCACGAACGAATGTACTGTATTTGGAATTCGAAACCAAGCATTCAACAAGTACGAAGGAATCATTAGTTCATACAAACACCACATCCCCCACAGCTCAAATGAGAATCCTAATTTCTGCAATCATGTGTATCTCTTCTCCTTAGATTCATCGTGTCTGTCTGACCGTGTATTGGATGTAGACTCTGTATGATCTAGAATATGCTCATTAAAATTCAAATTAACAGCCGAAATTGGAACGGATTCAGCTGGGTCCTGGAATTGTATACAATCATCATGTCGGTTTTGTACTGAGACCACTGATATCTAGAATTTGAACCATAAATATTCCAACACTATCCTCCCCCACGAAATAATGTTGGATCTTCATATCCCTAAGTTATGAATGGTGTGACTTCATTTAAAACATATTTCTCACACTGACTGGGGTATTCATTTGAAGTGACTTCAGGATAGGAAGAAGCAACAGTTAATATGAAATCATCAGAATTATAATCAAGATCGAGTTCACTTAGTACTCATGCTTCTCACTGATCAACATTTTCCCCACCTGACCAAATGGCATTATGAGAAATAAATAATATATGGAGCTAGGACCATCAGGATCTAATTCCTTTTGAAAATATTTTCCTGAATATTTATTAATAACAAGACATTCATCGGAGAAGCGAGCATTTGTTTTCCCTCAGGGACTGTGAGGCCCGATGTGCACCATTGGTTTAAGAAATCAGGGTTTTCCCCATTCCCCATGGGCGTGACTCTCCAACCGTGTATAGGTCACCAACCCGGTTAAAGCGCCAGGACAATTCGCCCTTGCGTCCCTCGCATATTGCGTAAAACAACAAGCATTGCCACGAGAGTGCAGTAGTATGTGTAGGACTTTCCTGGCGGAGGCTGTATACGCGTGGCCATGTGAGAGCATTTCAAGAGGGAGGGCGGGCCCACCCCACTTTCGGCCATACCAGGGCATTTGGGGGATAGCGCTTGGTGCGCCACCAACGCCATCAAAACCAAATGATGTCACAGGGTTCCCGGATAGACACATGCTAAACAAATGTTTCAAAGAGACATTTGGAGACCAAACTTGTACTATAGTGAACGAGGTCTCATGCACAGAAAACCACGTTATTGTTTAACGCCTTCGTAAAATCTGACAATCATACATTAAATACACTATTTGCACATATTCCTTCAGTTGTCCTTTACTCACTTCATGGTTCTCCCAACACTTGTTATTCCTCTTGCTCTCTGTCTTCCTTCCTGTTCACTCCACGTTAATCTTCTACTGGTAGGCGTTCCGCTTCCGTTTGCTACTACTTATATCTGTCAGTCTATGTAGCATACACCACAAAAGTACTTCACTAGTTTCGAATACGGGTCTCAGATAGATCACATACATCGATTTTGAATCGGTGCCCTGAGTAAGGCTACAATGGTGGTTGGTTGAACGTTTTCACCGTAATTTACCATATATTATGTCCTTTTCTTTTTCTAAGTTATCGATAAAGTTAAGTGTCATTAAAAAACCCAAATTTTCTGTTATAGGGTATGATTATGTTTTCTCATAAAGTGATCTTCAATGACAAATCATTAAGGGATCTCACATAAATAAAGCTGTCTACTCTTTACCTGTACTAATTATCAAGTTGAGAGGTTTTTACTTTATGGAATACTGTACGAAACGAGTATATCAGATACTTCATTGCGTCTTCCAGTATATGTAGAAATATATATTTACAAACTGATAGAGTTATAAATAGTGTTATTCGTGTGGTTTTTAAGTGCATTTGCGGTTTGTTTACAATATTCCCGTCATTTCTGCTACGACAAATTGTCTAACTTTTTGTTAGTGTTTTTTCTATGTACTTATTCTTTTACCAGTTACACTGAAACATTGTATTTTTTACACTAAATATGGGGAATTTCTCCTCAATGTATCCCGAACGTCTTAATCATTAAATAATTTCTTTCTACTTATTGCGTTATTATTTAGATATAAATCCTGATGAAATCCCAACCTTTGAAACAAATGTAAATAATTTCTGTGGAGAAAGTAATTCTGAACAAAGTAATAATCAATCAGACGAATCAGGTGAAGAACAATATTCAAAGAAACGACTTCGTAAACGTTTATTGAGACGAAAAGAACCCTGCGTTGTCAATCAAACAAATGGAGAAACTCAACTAAATGAGAATAATGATTTGTCTTCAGGTAAGTTTTTAGCATACACAAGTTAAGTAGTCCTTTAATCATTTTAATTTCAAAATAAGATTCTTTTTATCAATCAATTGATAATACATAACGAATGACTATAATCTTTTTTTTAAAAAAAACTAGTTAACATTTTTATGCACTTTCCAAATGAAATCCGTACTATGGGAGATAACAAAAATATCGTTAAATCACCATTCCTGCAGAGTATGAAATTTTGTCAACAGTGTTCACTCTGAATGCGTACAATCTTTAAGTTCCGTTTTGTGTGAAATTAATCAGCTTGATCTATCATGTCCATGTTTTATTTGTTATTTAAAAAGGAAGGCAATAACCTAAGATTCATTGTTGTTTTCAATCTTGCTTAAACTACTTTAGATGTCATGTATGATAGTGTATGTTGTCTTTAAATATTTGGCATTAGTATTTTGTTGAAATACGGCTTAACGCACGTGTATGTTTTCTTAGGGGTGAGGCTGTCAATATAATTTTATAAAATCGAAAAAAAATTTGAGTTTATCAAAGAAGTAAAGAATAAATTCCTATTTTAAAATGGGAATATTTCAGATCAAAATAAATCCAAGGTCGTTTTTTCCAAATTCACTAATTTAGATTTTCTCTTTGAGTTCTGTACTTGATGCCTAATCTTTTCTGTTACCACTAATACTTTTGCCATTTCTACTACTCTAAGATCTGCTCTAACAACATGTTGCTGTGCTAATATCGTAATGCAACTTAAACTGATTTAAATACATGCCAGGTTCTAAGTTACGTTTGACTGACTGACGAGTTCAGTATTGATAACATTTTCATCAATTGAGTTCATTTGGAATCGGACTCATACAAGCAACAAACCTGATGTATTTCTAACAAAATATTTTACCATGAAAAAGCAGTTTTTCTCCTTGAAACTGATAGAAAATACAGTAGTCTTACATTTCCTTTCAGTTGATAATGACCATCAACGAAATTCATAACATGTATTTCGTCCTACCTTAAACTTGTTAGTTAGATCAACTTGAACTTTGGTGATTTATATTGTTCATTCTAAGGTTCAAAATCACCGTACACCTCTTTAGATATTTTTTTATTAACTAGGTTGCAGTGATTTACGTTAAACTTCTCTTATTTAACCAATATACATATGATTGGGCTTGTAACAGTTTGGTGTTTCGTTATTCAAATACATTGTCTTCCAATTTTTATCTACTTCTCTTTAATCTGATGTAAATTTAACATCTTAAATACTTATTTAATTTTTTATACTAATCCATTTTTTAAAAAAGGCTTGTCTGTGAATTCGTGTCTACTTTTATATGGCTAATTTTGTTGGTTGTATTAATTTATTATTAATTACAGACGTCGTCATAGTTGATGAACCATATATTAGTCGAAAAAAACTCAAACAACAGAAAGATGAAGCAACACTTAAATCTACAGAAATTAAACCTATCAAAAGTAATGATGGATGGACTAAAGTAGAACAACAACAATTGGAGGTCGCTATACGCTCTATTGGTAAAGGGACACCTGAGCGATGGGATCGGATCACAGAATGTATCCCAACAAGAACAAAGGTATATTACTGTATTTGACTTTTGACTTTTCAACCAGTATTAACATTTTCAGCGTTTCAAAGAATAAGGTTTTAAAGGCTGTTCCAAAAGTCCTTCAAAATTTATTCTCAGCTATTTATCAGTACATCTACTATATGGGGTAGTTCAATAGCACTGGTATTCCGTTATCAGTACAAAACGTTTTTTGGGAAATTGGGTCAGTTTATTCATTTATTTAAACATAGGTACAAGAAGGCACTAAATATATATGCGCCACACTTCGTCATTCGATTTGTGAGTGCTTGGATACTTCCTCTGTGTCCAAATTGAAAGGGGTGGTTTTCTTTGAGGCCACTTCCTGAGCCTTTGACCTAGAGGTTTGATCCACATGGCAGTGGAGCAAAGTCAGGAGATGCAGTCCCATGGTAACCGGTGACCAACAATAGGTTCGTGCACCATTTTTCCCTCAGGATCCTGGAGCCCATGTCCATCATTGGTTTGGAATCAGGGTTTTCCATCTCCACTAGGTGGATTCTCTATATCCACCACCCCAGTTAAAACTCCGGACATTCCCACTTCGTCCTCTCGATTTCGAAACCATCACCATCGCGAAAGTGAGTAGGACTCCCCTGGAAGTGTCAGCGAATAGAGCATTTCGAAAGGGAGAGTGGATTCTCCCCACCCTCTGTCGTTTCAGGGCGTTTGGGGGACGACGATCACTAAACAAACTTTGAAAACGCAAAAGCAAGTGGAAGATTCGTTTAGGTACTGAGAAATATCATAAATGTGCCGTAAATTCCGTCAGGATATCAGAAACGACAAACAAACTGAACTTCAACCTACCTTAATAGAAATAAATTTCACTCAATTTTTTTCAGTGCTTCTCAGTAATCGCGATTCACTTCCTCTTTTCGTTAACTTTAAGGATTTGACATATTAATCGGGGATTTTTCTTTATATGTTCCCGAAAACACCATCATATATGATAAAGTATAAATACTGCAACCACTTATTAAAATGATTAACCTAATATAAACATATCTATTTATAGATTGATTTGCTCACTTTAATCTTAAAATCAATTCTAGTGTCTCTCATTTACTTAATGGTCGAAATACTTAATCAGAATAGATTATGTAATTCTTAATCTCTAAAGTATTATTTACTGTTAAAAAATTAATGTATTAACTTAACTAAATTAAACTGTAATGGATGTTTTACTCAATAATGGCAAGCATAAACTGTGCAAATCTGTGAGAAAGATTAATATATCCAAAGAATTTATTGATTCTACGACACTTTAACGTTGACTTACCAAATTTTTAGTTTTAATGCTACAGTACAGTAGTTGGATTTTTTTATTTACAAAAAATGTGTACATAAATTTGTTAGTTGCTTTATAAAAGGTTCCCTGACCAATTTGTAATGAGATAAAACTATGTTAATGCTAGTAGTGTTGCATGACTTCACATGTGTGTACATTTACAAACTTAATAACTATTTTAAACCTGACTAGTTTGACAATAGGATACAAGGTTGAGATTTAATGACTATTTAAAATAGGTGACAGTTATAGCTTTATAATATTTATTTCTCGTTTTTATCAAGGTCAAGAATTGTTGAATAAATTTCGAAACATGCCTGTAGGACAAAAGATATTTAATGGGACCTGCACTAAATTTTTGTCGTAAACTTCTTTTACATTCTATCGTACTTAGAAGTAACTACTTACTTAAACCTGTTATCCCCATGGAGTATTGACTACCTACCACGATCATCCAATGAACTCTATCATGGGCTCTCATTTCCAGTCGTTCCCAAGTCCTACTCATAATCTTGACGTCTGCCTTTTCTTCATTTTCTTTCGTTGTTGCGAGGTTCGATGATTTATGCAATGCTCATCCTATCTATCTCCAGCAGAAAGCTGGTTCGTTTCCTGCCACAGTCGATCGTTCCTGATGGTCTCTGGCCACAGGTCCGGGGTATCTTATATAGACACCTGTGTATAAGTTCTCCAAGTTTCAGCTCCGTACAACATAACTTTTGTCGTTGATGTTGAAAATACTGACTGAGGTTTTAAGTGATATTCTTCAACTGTAGGAATGGCACTCTTGATTTGAGAATCTGTGCCGTCATATTTGCATCAGATTTTCGTTGTTTATCAGTAATACCCAAATGTGTACCAGCTTCCGCCTCTTCCGGGGCCTCATCAAATGTGATTTGATTGGGGCTCTGTGTTGTATTTCAAAATCCTGCTGTTTCCTTTGTTAATATTGAGACCTACTGCTGTTACACTGGCTGTTTTCATCTGCGTTTTTTTATTGTATATGAAGTAGAAAGGTTAAATTATTTAGAATATCCGAGTCGTATAGCTGCATCCAATTTTTCCACTGTGTTTCATGCTTCTCCTGAGATGGAAAAGTCTTCATAATCCAGTCAACAACCAGGATAGAGAAAAGATGAGAGTAGACGGGTTTGTCTAAGACTAGTTTCCACTTGAAACATATCCATCAGCTGCCCCCCCTCACACACACATACAACTTTACGATACAGTCCGTCGTAGGAGTTCCGTTTAATGCTGACGATCGATTTAAGTATTCCATGGAATTGAAGAAGGTCGCACAAGTTTCTCCCATCCATGTTGTCGAATGCTCTCATGATCAAGGAGGTTGATGTATAGCAATGTATAGCGACTTCGTCGGCACGAGATCTACCATTACGAAATTCAACCTGTTGATTTCGAGATTGGGCGTCTACTGAATCTTTCCTTCGGTTGAGAAACACTGTTGGAAACTGTCTGGCATTAACAGTAGTATAATGCCTCTGTAGGTCTCCGTCCTTTCGTATCTTGATGACGTATCCTTCTCTCCAAACTGCTAATATTTGATTTACCTACCAAATCTTTCTAAAGATATCGTGGAGCAGTTACCCGTATATCTGACTTCAGTACTTCAGGTGTTTTGCCGTCTGGTTTTTCTAGTTTAACATTCTTGATTTGTCTGATTCCCTTCTTGATTTCTCCAGTTGTTGTTGGGGTAACATCTGTAGGGAGGTCTGTGTGTACTGCTGTAATATCCGGTGAATTCACTGGAGCTAGTCTATTAAACAGCTCACTGTTCTACCCACCCGTTCCGCTGCTCTTGAATCTCAGTGATTGGTTCGCCTTCCTTGCTCTTGTCTGGTCTCTAATTCACAAAACTTACCTCGACCACTACATCTGTGTGCTAATGTGGTGTGGCAACTCGAACTGATGTACGTACGTACGAAGTTCTACGTTGTTACTGACTGACTGATTCACAAACCTTACCTTCAAGCTTTGTCGTGCCATATGGTTCTCTCATATTTCATCCTCTTGCAGCTTTGCCGTCGTTACTAGGTCTTCTACATATTTCCGCTTGCCAACTCCAATTCTCTTTTTCATTTGTTTTTTTTACTTCTGTATATCAGGTCTGTCTTAACTTCTCCGCTCTTTTTCGGATGTTACTGGTTGCTCTTTTTTTCTTATCGTTAATTTTTTCCCAGGTTATCGATGGATTCCACTCTTTACTCTGGTGCCTTTGTGGCTTAGAACCCTCGCATGTTGAAGTTATTGCTTCTTTGGTCCTTTCCCAGTGTTTCTCTTCGCCACTACCAGGTGGTGATCTGATTCTGTATCAGCTCCTCACTTTGTAGACCTTTCATGAACTTTAAATACCTTTTATGCAGATGTGATCGATCTGGTCCTCTATGGTGCGTTTGTAGGGAATAATAGCACCACCTATAACCACTCTGTTGAAAGCACATAGATTTGTCAGTCTCTCACAATTCTCGTTCCCGTTTTCCAGCCCGACCTTGATATTCATTTCCTCCGTCTTGATGGTCAGGTTTTTTACTGGGCATTTCTCTACGATATACTTGTGCCTCAAAATCAGTCTTTAACATCTTGATCCCCATCAGTGGTGGGTGCGTGGCATTGGATGACATTCATTCCAATCTTTTCTTTATTTTGAAGACCCGGCCGTTGCTGCTACCTTGACGTGAAGACCGGGCTTGCTTGTCGTGATGAACCCACCGAGCTATACTGGCTGGGAAAGTCGTTCCTCAAGGTCCTACCATGCCAGACAGGTCGGTTGAAGGGCGGTAAGATCAAAAGCAGCAAACCCAAGGTCCGAAGGCGAAGCCGTACTGCTGACTGTAAAGAGGTGTGACAGCAGTAAGGTGTTTCCTTCAGACAACCAGCACAACGGCGATGCTGCCTTCCCACGAGGAGGGGTGTGGTTAGGAAAGGTCGACCCTAAAAATGCACACTTCGCCTTATCCCACGGATATCCGTCTCCGGCGGTAAGGTCTCAACAAGTACGGAGCTAACACAAAAATTACTCATAAAAAGGTCGTGTGTAACTGACGTCAAGCAGTTGTCCCTTGGGCACTGCGGCCATGCTCTCAGGTCACTAGGACCACCCCTAACCCGATTTCCTTTTCAGGTACCTCCAGGAGAACCCTTCCGCGGAGTGGGCAACCGGGGAATGATAACCGCTTTGATACCTCCAACAGCACTCAAGATCACTGTATTCATAATCAGCTTCCCTCTTCAATTCCTGTTATTCTTCCTACATTGACTTTCAACACTAATCTTTCTCTTTTGACTTCCTCCCCAAGTGTCACCATAGCCAACGATTCTAGTGCGCAAAACACTGTCCCAGGTCTACTGAAACCTCTCTCCAGACTACACATTAGCGTCTTTAACATGCACACTCTCTGTTAAATCGACCAGCAGACCTCCTTGTCTAGAACCCTAGGATCTCGTACTATTGATGAAGAGCGTAAAATAATAAAATCTAGATTAACCAAAAGTTTGAGGAACGACTGTGAATACTGGTGTGCAACGAAAGCAAAAGAAACGGAGAAGACAGCTGTAATACAAAAGAACTTTTCAGACTCGGAAAAAGACGACATTTTAAAGAGCAGATCAGCTGGCCTCCAGCGATTCTACAACTATCCACCAATCCAAGAGAGCGTGAATGGAACATTGAAATAAGTCC